TACCTAAGGCCAAAAAATATAGTACTGGAAAATGGAAGCGGCGTGCGAAATTTTCCTTCTCTCCCGTTTTCTGTTTTGGGTCCTCTTGTAGGTTAGGATAATGGGACTTTAAAACGCTATTTCTTGATGTTGGGAAACCTTAGGAGGTCGGGCTGCTATATAATACTTTGTGAGTTTTGACTAATCAGGAAGAGTCATGGTCAGTGTGTAGGGTCACCCGCTGGGGTCACGACGGTCCTCAGGTCGCCCCTATGTACGCAAATCTTCCATTTACCTTAAGTCAACATTTTAATATAAATTCTCAAAAGACATAATAGACTCAGAAAACGAACATGTTGAATAAAGTCCTGAACAACAGATGAAACATAAAATCACCTCAGAGGTTTGGCTTCTGTAACAATTAGGAGCGACTAAGAAGAAAAAAGATATTACTTGGGGTTTAAATAATACCCCATATTAATTATTTATTATGGATTATTATGGAGGCTTATTGAGGTGGAATTTTATTGAGGGTTATTATGACGGATTATTATGGAGGGTTATTGTGATGGAGTATAATTGAGGGTTATTGTGGTGGATTACTATGGAGGGTTATTGTGGTAAATTATTATGATGAGTTATTGTGGTGGATTATTATGGAGGGTTATTGAGGTTCATTATAATGGAGGGTTATTGGGGAGGATTATTTTGGAGGACTATTTTGGTGGATTATTATAGACGGTCATTGCGGGGAATTATTCTTGAGGGTTATTGTTGTGGATTATTTTGGAGGGTCATTGTGGGGGCTTATTATGGTGGGTTACTGTGGTGTTTTATTATGGATTGTTATTGTGGTGGATTATTATGGATGGTTATTGTGGTGGATTATTATGGAAGGTTATTGTTATGGAATATTTTAGAGGTTATTGTGGTGGATTATTATGGAAAGTTATTGTGGTGAATTATTATGTATGGTTATTGTGGTGGATTATTATGGAAGGTTATTGTTATGGAATATTTTGGAGGTTAATGTGGTGGATTATTATGGAAAGTTATTGTGGTGAATTATTATGTATGGTTATTGTGGTGGATTATTATGGTATGTTATTATTGTGGATTATTATGGAAAGGTATTGTGGTGGATTATTATGGAGGGTTATTGTGGAGGATTATTTTGGAGGGTTATTGTGGTGGATTATTATGGAGGGTTATTGTGAAGGAGGATTGATATGGAGGGTTATTGTGGTGGATTATTATTGAGGGTTATTGTGGTGGAATATTTTGGGTGGTTATTGTGGTATATTATTATGGTCTGGAATTGTTGTGGATTATTATGGAGTGTTATTGTGATGGATTATAATGAAGGGTTATTGTGATGGATTATTATGGAGGGATGGATTATTATTGTGGTTGATTATTTTGTGGGTTTTGGTTGTGGATAATTATGGTGGGTTATTGGGGATGGATTATTATGCTGGGTTATTGAGGTGAATTTTTTATGGAGGGTTATTGTGATGAATTATTATTGATGGTTATTATGGGGGATTATTTTATAGGGTCATCGTGATTGGTTATTTGGAGAGATTGTGGTTGATTATTTGGAGGGTTATTGTGGTGGATAATTATGGAGGGTTATTGCAGTGCATTATTTTGTAGAGCTATTTTTTGTTGATTATTATGGAGAATTATTGTGGTGGATTATTTTTTTTTGTGGTTGATTATTATGAAGAGTTATTGTGGAGGATTATTTTGGAAGGTTATTGTTGTGGAATATTATGGACAGTCATTGCAAGGGATTATTATTGAGGGTAATTGTTGTGTAAATTTTTAGAGGGGTCATTGTTGGGGCTTATTATAGTTGGTTATTGTGGTGGATTATTATGGATGGTTAGTGTGATGGATTATTATGGATGGTTATTGTTGTGGATTATTATGGAGGGTAATTGTAGTGGATTATTATGGAGGATTATTGTGCTGGATTATTATAGACAATAATTGTCGTGGATTATTATGGAGGGTTATTGTATTGGATTATTATGTGGGTTATAGTGGTGGATTATTATGGATGGTAATTGTGGTTGATTATTATTGAATGTTATTGTGAATTATTATGGAGTGTTATTGTGATGGATTATAATGAAGGGTTATTGTGATGGATTATAAAGGAGGGTTATTGTGATGGATTATTATGGAGGGTTATTGTGGTAAATTATTATGGTGTATTATTGTGGTGAATTATTATGGAGGGTTATTGTGGTTTATTATTATAGAGGGTTATTGTAGAGGATTATTATAGACGGTTTTGCTAGGGATTATTCTTGAGGGTTATTGTTGTGGATTAATTTTGGAGGGTCATTGTGGGGGCTAATTATTGTGGATTATTGTGGTGCATTATTATTATGGATGGTTATTGTTGTTGATTAATGTTATTGATGGTTATTGTGGTGGATTATTATGGATAGTTATTGTGGTGGATTATTATGGAAAGTTATTGTGGTGGATTATTATAGAGGGTTATTGTGGAGGATTATTTTGGAGGGTTAATGTGGTGGATTATTATGGAGGGTTATTGTGGAGGATTGATATGGAGGGTTATTGTGGTGAAATATTATAGAGGGTTATTGTGGTGGAATATTTTGGGTGGTTATTGTGGTGGATTATTATGGTCTGTTATTGTTGTGGATTATTATGGTCTGTTATTGTTGTGGATTGTTATGAAGGGTTATTGTGGTTGATTATTTTGTGGGTTTTGGTTGTGGATAATTATTGTGGGTTATTGAGGGTGGATTATTATGATGGGTTATTGTGGTGAATTTTTATGGAGGGTTATTGTGGTGGATTATTATTGGTGGTTATTATAGGGGATTATTTTGTAGGGTCATCGTGATAGATTATTTGGAGTGATTGTGGTTGATTTTTTCGAGGGTTATTTTGGTGGACTATTTTGAAGGGCTATTGTGGGGGATAATTATGGAGGGTTATTGCAGTGCATTATTTTGGAGGGCTATTTTTTGTTGATTATTATGAAGAATTATTGTGGTGGATTATTTGGGGGTTTATTGTGGTTAATTATTATGAAGAGTTATTGTGGAGGATTATTTTGGTAGGTTATTGTAGTGGAATATTATGGACGGTCATTGCGTGAGATTATTATTGAGGGGTAATTGTTGTGTAAATTTTAGGAGGGTCATTGTTGGGGCTTATTATATTTGGTTATTGTGGTGGATTATTACGGATGGTTAGTGTGGTCGATTATTATGAATGGTAATTGATGTGGATTATTATGGAGGGTAATTGTGGTGGATTATTTTGGAGGATTATTGTGCTGGATTATTATGGAGAATAACTGTGGTGGATAATTATGGAGGGTTATTGTATTGGATTATTATGTGGGTTATTGTGGTGAATTATTATGGAGGGTTATTGTGGTTGATTATTATTGAAGGTTATTGCGGTGGATTATTATGGAGTGTTATTGTGTTGGATTATTATGGAGGATTATTGTAGTAGATTATTATGGAAGGCTTTTGTGGTGGATAATTATGTAGTTACTGTGGTGGACTAATATGGAGGGTTATTGTGATGGATTATTATGGAGGATTATTGTGGTAAGTTATTATGGTGTATTATTGTAATGAATTATTATGGAGAGTTATTGTGGTTCATTATTATGAAGAGTTATTGGGGAGGATTATTTTGGAGGGTTATTTTGGTGGATTATTATAGACGGTATTGCTGGGGATTATTCTTGAGGGTTATTGTTGTGGATTATTTCGGAGGGTCATTGTGGGGCCTTATTTTGGTGGATTATTGTGGTGCATTATTATTAGGGATGGTTATTGTGGTGGATTATTATGGATGGTTATTGTGGTGGATTATTATGGAGAGTTATTGTGGTGGAATACTATGAAGGGCTATTGTGGTGGAATACTATGAAGGGCTATTGTGGTGGATTATAATTGTGGGCTATTGTGGAGGATTATTATGGACGGTTATTGTGGTGAATTATTATGGAGGGTTATTGTGGTGGAATGTTTTGGGACGTTATTGTGGTGGATTATTATTGTATGTTATTGTTGTGGATTATTAGGGAGAGTTATTGCAGTGGATTATTATGGAGGGTTATTGTTGTTGATTATTATGTGTTTTTTTGTGTGGATAATTATGGTGGGTTTTTGGGGTGTATTATTATGATTGGTTATTGTGGTGAATTTTATGGAGTGTTAGTGTGGTGGATTCCCATTTATGGTTATTGTGGTTGATTATTTTGTGGGGTCATTGGGACTGATTATTTTGGAGAGTTAGTGTGGTTGATTATTTGGAGGGTTATTTTGGTGAATTATTATGTAGGGTTATTGTGGTTGGATAATTATGGAGGTTTTTGCAGTGGATTATTTTTGAGGGCTATTTTTTATTATTATGGAGGATTATTGTGGTGGATTATTTGGGGGGTTATTATGGTTGATTATTACGAATAATAATAATGATTATTATTATGAGTTATTGTGGAGAATTATATTGGAAGGTTATTGTGGTGGAATATTATGGACAGTCATTGCAGGGGATTATGCTTGAGGGTTATTGTTGTGGAAATTTTTGGATGGTCGTTGTCGGGGTTATTATAGTTGGTTATTGTGGTGGATTATTACGGATGGTTATTGTGGTGGATTATTATGGATCAGAAACGGTTGGGCACTTCCATGCCGACTTGACCCTGTCGGGCCAGATCGTCCATTCCTCTTGTTTTAGGTGGTTAGGTTAGGGCACAGTCAGCGCGCTCCTGACTGGCTGACGGTGGTGGGGTGGTGGTCCCCCCCGGGGTCCCGGGGGGAACAACCCCCATGGTGTACCTGAGGAACTGGTGCCCTATCCTAACCTGTTTTTTGTTACTTTTTGTCGCCTTGCTTTAAGATGAGTCTATTGCCTCAAGAAGGGGGTCTCTACTTATGAGAGGTACCGAGGATGAATGTTCAATAGTTGGAAACCAAACCAATAGTTGGGTCGCCCTCCCACCCCATCAAATGCTCGAGCATGAATCAACTTGCGAGGTCAAACAAACGTTGCATTTTCCTCCCCCTGAAAAGAAAATAGAGTTTAAACATTTCGGGCGAGCGTACGGGCCAAGCCACACGTGTTACTACGATTTCGAGTGCGCCTTGCAAAAGGATAGGCCACAGGGCATAATCGAAGCACGTCACAGGGGCATTGCATATGCGTACATAATCATAGACCGTCGCTATAATATCGTAGAAAAAGATTTCTACCTCGGGCCTAATTCTGCAACCCATTTTGTTAATAAACTATCCTCCTCGTGGGCCAGAATAACGCGAGAACAGCCATATTACCATCTGCACATGTCCAATGAGCAAATGGAAAGTTACAAGAGTCAGACCATGTGCGAGATATGCGACGAACCTTTCGGGCCCAAAATCGTCAAAAATAGACACCACGACCATTCACTGAGCGAACATAATTACTTAGCCGCCCTATGCTCTCGCTGCAATCTCCAGTGCAAAGATGGCTACAAATACTTGCACGCATTTTCACATAATGCGGCGTATGATTTAGGGGTTTTGTTAAACGAGTTAGGAAACGTGCCCAAACGCAACGTAGACATTATGTCCAAAGACGGGTGTAAATTTATGAAAGTTGACATTGACTTTCTTAGATTTATGGACAGCTTAGCCTTGCTCAATGGGTCGTTGGCCAAATTAGCCAAGGAACACATCGACAGTGGCAAACCTACGACGTTCACTCTCGCCATGTTAGATAAGGTCCCTGCTGAGGCCCATAATTTATTGTTAACTGGCAAACAGTCCTTTTGTTATGATTACGTGTCAAATTGGGATGTATTAAATGAACCGCGGCTCCCCCCCAGAGATGCATTTTTCAATACCTTGACGCAGGAAGAGCTCCCTGAAAAAGAATACAAACAAGCGTTGGAGGTATTTAAATTAGCCAAGTGCCGCAATATTGGCGAATATCTCGTCTTGTATTTAAAAGTTGATACTGGCATTTTAGCAGACATTTTCACGGTGTGGCGACGCACTATGTTAGATCTTTATAGATTAGATATTGCATATTACCTCTCTTTATCTAGTTTCGCGTGGGACGCCTTCCTGTTCAAAAGTAAGGTGGTGCTAGATCCAATATCAGACCCTAGAATGTATGACCTCATTCGCAGGAATTTAAGAGGAGGCTTCACCTCAGTTGTAAAGCAATTGTCTACCGCCGAGAACCATTACACCGGGGCGGGGTCTGGCGAGGATGGAACCCACATCCTCTATCTAGACTTCAATTCACTCTATGCTACGTGCATGAGTGAAAAGCTCCCCACTGGCGGTTTCCGTTGCCTAACTGACGCCGAACGCGATGAAATGCTATTGCAGGGTTTGAGAAATATTGACTGCAATCAAGAGCGCGGTTATTGGATTTTGTGCGACACTAAACAAGTTTCCCCCGACGTAGCTAGATACACTGACGACCTGCCATTAATTTTAGCACACGCCGACATCGTGACGGAACAACTGTCAGAATACAGTAAGTCGATCCTAGTTGCGGAAAATCGCAAGCTGCCGCGCAATAATCGAAAACTCATTGCCACCCACGAAGCACAACGCGACTATTTAATTAGTCTAGATTTCCTTCAGCTTTTAATGCGACTAGGGGTGGAAGTTTCGCGCGTGCACACTATCTTTGAATTTGAGCAGAGGGCACACCTCAAGTCCTTCGTAGATAGTAATATTCGCGAGCGCACAAACTCGACCTGTGCAATTAAGTCTAAGGCATTTAAACTTGTAAATAACGCTATATATGGCAAATCTTTAACGAATTTGGAGCGTTATGCCAATAAATACTATTTAACCACAACTCGCAAACAGTTCCTCAAACACGCTCGCAGCCCGTTTTTCAAACGAGCGACTTTGCTGAGTGAGGACCGTGTCCTTTGCACGACCCGCAAAGATTCGCTCACTATTGATACGCCCACATATCTAGGCTTTCAAATTCTTCAAATAGCTAAAAGGCGGCTATATTCCTTTTGGTACGACACGGTCAAAGCAAAATATGGTGACAAGGCAAAACTGCTCTACACCGACACTGACTCGTACATTATTCAGCTTACTTGCAGAGATGCTTTTGAAGAGCTTAATAAGGCCCCGCTCATACGCCACATTGATTTTAGCAATTTCCCCGAAGATCATTCTCTATATTCAATCGCGCGAAAAGGCAAACTGGGTCTTTTAAAGTCCGAAGTAGGGTCTAAAATTATAACCCAGCTCGTTGCCCTTAAGCCCAAAATGTACTCGCTAGTGACGCTGGATAAACAGCACATTTGCAGATGCAAGGGGATCACACGACGTCAGCAAGCTGGGCTAGAACACTCATCTTTCATAGACGCCCTTGAAACAAACACAAGTCGGAGGTTTGTGACTAGGACTATTAGAAATGTTGGCGGGCAAATGTGCACATGCGTTACTGTCAAGAGAGGCTTATCCGCGTTTGATGATAAGCGATACGTAATAAGCCCCACTGTTTCACTCGCTTATGGTCACCCCGATATTCCACACGATCCAGAGGATGAGGAGGCAGTCATTAGTGACTTAGAGATGGATGTGGACGCGCAGGAAAATGTGGAACAAAATATACGCCCTGCAGGACGGCGTCATTACCCAATTTTCAATATGTGGGCCAAGAGAGATTCATTGGCCCAAAACCTATTCCCAAACTTGCTGTGAAATATGCTCGCTCCTCTGCATTAAAAAAAAAAAAAAAAAAAAAAAAAACTGTTTGCATTCTCACATTAGTGCATATTATTGTTTTTATTGTTGTTATTATTTTATAATGTTATAAGGGATGTTTATTATTATTTTTTATTATTATTAATATTATTATATTATGCCTATAGATTTAAGCTTGTAAATATGTATATATTATGTTTTGCCAACACCTAGTCACAAAACCTTAAAAAAAGTACGTTTTTTAATGTCTTTGTCACGCCCTAAGCTTGCTGACGTCGTCTGATCCCCTTGCATCTATATCTATCTATCTATTATTATTATATATATTATATATATAATAGCGGGTTTCAATAAACAGGAAAAAGTATTTTTTTTTTATATATATATATATATATATATATATATATATATATATATATATATATATATATATATATATATATATATATATATATATATATATATATATATATATAACATTCCACAGTGTGCATATTAAACAGTAGAGACTCAGCCCCCAACATGGAAAGACCTGATGAGATAATATCTCAAGCCCATCTTAACATCTTCAGGGAACCATGTCGGATGATAATAGCGGGTTATTCAAATGCAGGGAAATCATTTTTATGCAACAAACTCGTGCACAAGTACCATGAAACATTCGCTCGAATAATTATATGTGGTGGGGGATATCCCGAGTTGATGAACAATCCACGAATTAATAGAAAAATTGTTGCTCATTCGAGCATTATTGATCCTTTGGATGAGCAAATGGGTAATTCCCCAATGCTGATAATAATCGACGATCTCTTTACTGAAAGCGCAAATTCAAAAATTGTTTCTGATATTTTCACCAGGGGGCGTCATCATAACATCTCTGCCATATTGATCACGCAAAATATATTTTTCCCTGGAAAATATTCTAGGAACATAAGCCTAAACGCCTCGCATTTCTTATTAGTCAAATCAAGAGATCTTTCTCAAATTGAGACTTTGGGACGTCAAATATTTGGGAAACAGGATTCAAAGAAATTTCTAGAAATATATAAAAAGGTCATAGCCAAACCCTATGGTTATTTATTTGTAGATCTGGGGTCAAGCACACCCGCCAGCATAACTTTGCGCGGGAATATTGTCGAAGAGGAACCATTTGAAATAGTTTATCAATGGTGAGCAAGAAACAGCAAATACTCGATCGAGTTTATAATGATCCTACTTCCACTGGGGGATTTGGAGGCGTGCAGAGATTATATAAAGCAGCTAAATTACTTAATTCTGACATAACACTGGCCGATGTGAAAGATTACTTAAAATCCTCAGACGCATATACGCTGCATTATTTACAACCTAAAAAATTCGCGCGTCGACGAGTTTTGAGTCCTAAACCACGGGTTTATGTGTCTGTTGATCTAGCAGAAATGGGGAAGTTGGCAGGGATGAATAATGGCATCAAATATCTGCTCGTTTGTGTGGACATATACTCCAGGTTTGCTCAAGTAGTGCCGCTAACTAGTAAAGACGCGAACATTGTGTGTAGGGCACTAAAATCTATACTAGAGACACCTCACTCGCGCGGGGTGCGGAAAATTAATTCAGATCGAGGGGGCGAATTTTACAACGCGCGTGTGAAAAAGATGTTGGCCTCTAAGAAAATTGTGCTGTATAGTGTATTTTCTCAGGAAACAAAAGCATCCATAGCCGAAAGATTCATACGCACTTTGAAAACTAAGCTTTACAAGTATATGACTTCGCACAACACATTGAAATATATAGGGGTGCTGCCTGACGTTGTAAAAACATATAATGTCTCGCCACACCGAGGGTTGGGGGGCAGAACCCCCAGAGAGGCGCATGCTTTAACAAAACCAAGAGAGATTGTCAATCTATTTAACTTAATGTATAAAAACCCAGGCAAAACATCGCGGGGCATCATTCCACAGCTGAAGGTTGGCGAAACAGTACGCATTACTTTATCTGATCGCGTTTCGAAATTTAAAAAAGGTTTCAAACAGCAGAATACGCGAGAAATCTTCACAATCGCGCGAGTGGACAATAGCCAGAGGGTCCCTTTATACTATTTGAAAGATTTGAACGGTGGCAATATTGACGGAGGGTTTTATAGACAGGAACTAACCCTCACCCATTTGCCCGCCGCCTTCAATATTGAAAAGGTTTTGAGCAAGAGAGAAGTCGACGGTCAGTTGCAATATAAAGTCAGATACGAGGGTTATGATCAATCATTCGACCAATGGGTCGACGCCGATGACGTACTGAAACTATGAAGGAGCCTTTAGTTCAGAAATACTGGGATCTGATAAGACTATTAGCCGGTCTTAAGTACTCCAGCAGAAAGAAATTAATTGAAAAATTCAAAAAGCCACACATAAATTGCCTATCGGAAATATTTAAAAATCTTTTAAGAAATAAATTGCCCGTGCCTAGCGAGGTTTTAAAAAAACTGAAAAAATATAGTTCATTAATTCGTGTTGTAGCTTGCAAAAAACCTTCCACGGCAATTAAAAAAAAAATATTAACTAGCAAACGGGGTGGTAATATCCTATCTATTCTCCTTCCCATTGCCGTTAATCTGTTGTCGCGTTTATTTACCAAATGAGAGAGTATTATTTAGTCCCGCGGAAAATAATGGACGAGCGAGTGCCGGCCACTTTGCCGACAGTGCCAGAGATATCGATGCCAACGCCCCCGCAACAGACAACTGAGAACGCCCAGCCCGAAAGATCTAATCCTACTGTAGCACATCTGATAAATCTGAGATTAAAAGCGATACATCACGAATATGCAAGGGCACTTTTAAAATATTTCGACGAGAGCGGGCTTGTTAAATGGGACGTTAATGGCAATATAATGAGTCCTGTGACTGGCTTGCATATAATTAATGATATTATATATGGGATGACGGTCCACAATGCTTTATTTGCCCCTACTAAACTACCTCTTGCAAAATTATTTTTTAATGTGGCTTCAATTCCTATGGATCTATTTAGAAACACTGCGGCTCGCAGACAGGTTAACGATGAGGGAATTAACAGGAGACGGGGCGTGGCTGTTTCGACCTCTGACCTCCCTCCTAAGCGGATCAAGGTCGGTGGTCGCGGGGATCGGGTCGCCCCCTCGTGGTTGGCTTATTAAAAACAAATTACGGCGATTTGAGCATTTATTCATTGCCCACCTGTGACCCGGTACTGATGCCAGAATGGACACTCACATTATATACGCGACCAACGTTGCCAATGCAGATCTGTATCCTGATAACATTCCCAGCTCTTTTTCAAATCGCTTGTATAAGGAATTAAATTTGAATCCCAAGCGCGCCTATGAAATGTGTTTACAGAAATTATTGCTCCCCACATCTCATTACGTGATTATGAAAGACGATCTAGAGAGTTATGTGAGGGTTGGTTTAATATGCACCAATGTACAAATGACGGGCTTTAAACACACCTATTCGAAGTTTTTACTGAAAAACAACATTTTGGCAGGAAGCATAAAGGAAATTAATAATGCAATTAACAATGAAATAGCCAATATATTGTCAAGCAAGGAATTGAGTTTTATAGATAAAGCTTATAAAAAGCTGTATCCAAAATATGGAACAACGTATATAAAATACGATTCAAGCTATAATCGCAATAAATTTAGTGCCGTATACAGCGACGCCATAATGTCGCAGTTCCAAAGACCAGGTGAAGAGGTATATAATATGGTTTGCCGAATTTCGCTATCGTTCGGGCGTGCGATCGGGAAGGTAATAGGCACCGAGACAGGTGAGGATTATGTCATATATTTAATCAGGGGTATAAAATATGAGACAGGCAAGGAAACTGATTTATGTGTCTACCCACCACAGCCGAGAGGAATGATGGATAATTTGTGTATTTATTGCGACAAAATTATGCCTACGAGTTATGGTGATCAGTTAGTCAATATACTGGACGTTGTCTCTTTAAATGGGAGTGACGGTGGTAATAAGAAGTTATATAAACCTCTGAACACTTCAATTGTCGACAGTGTGAGCATTACAATGACCGATCAAGAAGGCAATCCTGTTTATTTCGATGCGCGAGGCTGCACGATTGCAGTTTTGCATATAAGGCCGACTTTGGGGGTTATATAATTGAGCGTTGAAGCCTATAATCTTCATTACCTTGCATCTAGTTGCAAAATGCGCGTCGATTTTACCCCGCCGTCGGTGGAGGAGTTATTAATACTCCTAACGCCCCCCGTTTCCGGGAGAGGGGGCGGTTTAGGGGACGTCCGCATTTTTAACAGTACTAGGCGTCATGTGCGAGGGGGTGGGATTTTTAGTTTCATAACTGGACTGGCGAAGCGAGCGGCACCATTCTTGATGAGAACCTTGGCCCCTGCTGCATTGAGTATGGGCCAGGATGTCGTGCAAGACATAAACAGTGGCGAACGCACATTGAAACAGTCGCTCAAACACAGAGGCCTAGAAACATTAAAACATGTTGGGAAGCAAATTGCGGGTGGGCGGGTCGTTAAGAAAAAAAAAAAAAGGAACAGAAGGATTAAGACAAAAAACAAAAAACAAAAACAAAGCAAAACAAGAAATTTGTTCAGGAAAATCGACGGAGGGAAATATAATGACGTGTTTGCTTAAAAATTGAATCACTCTCGAAACAACTATTGACAAGATAGCATGGCGGGGCTGCAAGTACCACTGGGGAATTATGCCGCTGCGATAACTGACGCCTTTCCCAAGCCGTTCTCCGCTAGGATGGTAGAGGCCACTATAGCCTCGCGTCAAACTATTGATGTTTTGCCAGTAAATACTGGGGGCAATAAATTTAGAGATGCGTATCTTGAATTTAACATTAAAGGCGTGAATGGCCACTTTCTAGATATGTCGTCATTGGCTTTGGAACTATCGCTAGCAGTAACGGGCGAAGATGGAGCTAGTGCGATAGGGGATACAGAAAATGTAACAATTAGTAATGGTCTATCACAGACTTTATTCA